TGAACCATAAAGCAAAACAGAATTCAACAAATCAGGAAGAAAACTGTTCTAACAAAATAATATTATGTCAATCAATTAAAATGTTATAGGAAAAAATTACAAACGATAAATATGTTCGAGGAACTACCATATCACCCTGACTTCACCAGCGCGAGAGAAGAACGCCAATTACTCGCTCATTCTTCCAAAAAACGATGAAATAGAAATTTGGCATTAACATCTTTTTCATTATCTACACACGCTCACACATTTAATATAATTTTTATGTACGTTCATTTTATTGATAATTATTATATTTACAAAATGAATGTTAAACATTCATCATTTTATATTAAATATTGTTTGGATCAATGTTTGTTAAATTTCTTGTTACGTAGATCGTTTAATTAATTGATATACTATTGAAAGACATTAAAAGAAGAGAAAAAAACTAAGCAACGTTCTTGACTTGTTTATTATCAACCGGATCAACAGAAAAGGAAAAGTGAAGTTACATACAAAGCAAAGAACATTTGGTCCAAAGAAAAATAAATGTATATTATAAATCATAATGTTTTAATATAAAACATAAAACTTAACACCTTCTCATTTTATTTAAAACATTAGATGACCTTAACCTAAATGTTCTGAAGACCCATCGCACACATCAGATTCTTTAGTCTTGGTCCTACCATTGGTTTTGTCAGAGCATCAGCAACTTGAAGTTCTGTCGCAAACTTCTTCTGCAACTTTTTCTCTGACAAAGAAATGTCTAATGTGGATGTGCTTTGTTCTTCTGTGAAGTTCTGGATTGTGTGCTAAACGAATTGCTGCTTCATTGTCGACAAAAATTTCTGGCTTTTTCTTTAGATTTACAATGTCGATCAACAATCGTTTGAGCTATATCACTTCACGAGCGGCTTCACTTGCGGCAACGATTTCTGCTTCAGTAGTTGAAATCGCAACTGAGGGTTGACGTTGGCTAAACCAACTAATCACGCTTCCTCCAAACATACAGATTACACCTGATGTCGATCTTCCACTAGATTTATCTCCTCCATGATCTGCATCACTGTAGGCTATAAGTGTATTGTTTTGACCAGACTTGTAAACAATACCGACATCAGCTGTGCCTTGCAAATATCTGAAAATTTGCTTGACTTGTGCTACACTGGACTTGCTGGGTTTCTCCAAACTTCTGGATGCTACTCCAACTGCATATGCAATATCTGGTCTTGTTCCCGTCATCAAGTACATCAATGCACCAACTGCTGATCTATAAGGAAATTTCACTTCCTCATGTTCATTTTTGTTTTCATCGAACTCCTCAGATTTTGAAATCGGAGTTGTACAGGATTTACACTGACTCATCCCAAACTTTTCAAGAATCATTCTTGTATAGGATGACTGACTGACATTAATATTTCCCTTCTCATCTTGATTAATCTCTAATCCAAGGAAATATGTTGCAGGTTTAGATGTTATCCTGAACTCTGACTTTAATTCTTTTTCAAATATTTTTAATTCTTCTTTATCGGTTCCTGCAACTAGTCCATCATCAACATACAGTGCAAGTATCAGTTTCTTTCCTCCCTGTATTCTAATGAACAAACAAGTATCTGCATCGCTTTGTTTGAAATGTCTCTTTTTCAAGAATTCAGCAAAGCGTTTGTTCCAACATCTTGGAGCTTGTCTAAGTCCATAGAGACTTCGCTTGAGTTTACAGACTCTTCCTGAATTATCTTTAAAACCTTCAGGTTGCTCCATGTAAATATCTTCATCTAGTTTGCTGTAAAGAAATGCTGTTGACACATCAAACTGCATGAGTGACATCTTTTGCAGCAACACTTAATAGTGTTCTTATAGTTGAACTTCTGACCACAGGACTATAGGTTTCTTCATATGCTTTTCTTGGTGTCGCTGAAACATTTTTGAAATTTTTAGAAGGTCTTTCATCACTGACCCACTTTCTACATTGCTTAACCCAGTGTCCAGGTTTATGGCAATAGTTGCAGTTACCAGCTGGTTTTGTCTTTTTAGTGAAATCTCTTGATTTGTTGAAACTTGGCTTTTCAACATTTACAACTAAGGCGTTCTGCCTTGATGATTTGTCGATTGTGTCGAAAGTCTTTATCTCTCTTTGGAAAGCACAGAGATGAGTGATTAAATCATCTATCGACTGCTTTTCTTCACCTAGCATTAGCCAACTTGATTTGAAGTTTTGGAAACTATTTGGGAGAATCTGCATCGCTTTGCATACTAATAGCAGCTCTGGTAGTTTATTTTCTCCCGATGCCTGAAGCCCACTGTTTAATTCGTTCCATAAAGTCTTCAATCTTGCAATTTGGCCGGATACATTTACATCCGCTATCCAATTGAAATTGAAAAAATTGCTACAAACTTGGAACAGTTGATCCTTAGTTGAGGCTTCAAAATTTCTTTTTAATTCCTCCCAAACTTCAAACGCTGTGTTCTTGTCCATTATCTTTTGGTATGTATCTTCTGTGACTACATTCGCAATTACTGATTTGGCATAACTGTTTGCCTTTCTAAACAGATCTGATTTATTTTTAAAATCTTTTGCCTGTTGCTCTGTTTGGTTTTCTAGTAATTCTGGTTTCGACAACTTCCTATCAAGTGCGCCCTCATGGTAGTCCATGAAATCTCGAACACGACGTTTCCAAATGGGCCAATCAGCTGCGCAACTTAACTGTTTTATTTGAAGCTTTGAATCCATTTCTTCCTTGTCTTTACAATTTGACCTTTTAAATAGAAGCAAAATATCGATTTTCAGAGAATGAAGAAGCACGTGTTTTTTCTTCACTTCAGTCTTCACAAACACAAAGGAATCTTCCGATATTTCTTTATTCTAAATTTTCTTCGTCAAATCAATTAATTAAGAAAAACGTTATCTGGGCCCATAACCTGTTAAATTTCTTGTTACGTAGATCGTTTAATTAATTGATATACTATTGAAAAACATTAAAAGAAGAGAAACAAACTAAGCAACGTTCTTGACTTGTTTATTATCAACCGGATCAACAGAAAAGGAAAAGTGAAGTTACATACAAAGCAAAGAACATTTGGTCCAAAGAAAAATAAATGTATATTATAAATCATAATGTTTTAATATAAAACATAAAACTTAACAATGTTATCAATGCTAATTATTTATTTGTCTATATCAATGATTTCATTAACATTTCTTACCATTATTTTTTTACCACATTTTGAGGACAAATTTATATTTTAAAAGTGAAGTGTATCAATCAATCAAGACATACACAGACTAACACATATGCACAATCCGGTTAAATTGTAAATGACACGATTAAATTATAAATTGTAATCGACATGCGATTGATTTCCCATGGTAGCGTAGACGAATTAATAAGTCAATGCACTGCACATGCAAGATGAGCGTGGGACATTGCCCTGGCCCCGCCCCACTTAAGCCATGGCATGGAAAGGCATCTAAAAAATAAAAGAACAGTTGACAGTTGAATAATCAACAGCTTTTTACTTTCTCTACCACACAGACATGCTCAAAAATAGAATCACTGTTGGAAAATTCAATCATAGAGAACTAACTCATTGACAACAGCTCATTCTCAATAAAAGATGTTATCAACATGACAGTCAGATAAATATTAAATAAATATAGGAACAAATAAATGAGTAAAAAACCAATTAAACCAACAATATACAAACATATATCCACACGTACACACACACACACACACACACACACACACACACACACACACACACACACACACACACACACACACACACACACACACACACACACACACACACACACACGTAGTATATACATTCATGTATGAGAATGTGCACAGGTATGCTGTATGCTTAGCATAGCATACAATAACCAGCTAATGTAAATTCAGTTGATCCTGAGTATGTAATTTGCATGTGGCTGCCAGGCAAACAAACAGAAGTTCATTTGTTTGCACAATATTGTGTGGAGATTTAAAAAATGCAATAAAAACAGTGGATGGAGTGCATGAGCATGATCCAGAGGGGAGTGCATTCCTGGGATGTGTTTGGAGAGGTTCAATGAATGAAGTTATCGGGGTATGAGCTATAGGGAAGGAACAAACAGCAACAATATATTTGCACATGCTTTGTTCGGTACATAGTGCTGCACCAAAGTAATCATCATTATGCAACAGGATGGACTGAATGCATAATTTATGTAACTGACTGAATGGTTTTGATCAATTGTTACGTAACTGATGAATGCTTTTTCTGGTGGGACACAATATGATTAAAACAGAGTAACTGACACAAAATGATAGCAACGAAATGCTTACAATGATAAGATTACAGCAACACAATTACAACTATTTGATTACAATAATTTGATTAGTTCAGTATGTAAATTGGAGTTATGCCTCCAACCATGCTTAACTTGGTAACGTTTTTAACAAAGGTTGTTGAAAAATTTATATAGATTAATGTCCAGAATTCTCTGATTTATTATAAACTCCCTTTCATGTAAAAAATGAACTCATATCATTCGTGCACTAATGAGTTTCAACCAATCAACAACTCATTTCAACATCAACCACATTGCTAAAATTCACTATAATTCATTCAGTGGAAACGCATCAAAAGACATGCATAATAGCATAGCATAGCATGCCATAACACACCATCGTATAACATAAAGGATGGGTTCACCACGAAGCGAGCAACACAACCATCACACAACATCTTTAGGAGCTACAAAATGTCACCCGTTCACAACGAAACTTTACAACCAAGCTCCAATATAACAATATGATTATTTAAGGCAGAACAACTGAAATGAAATGATAACAACAAAATGCTTACAATGGTAAGATTGCAACAACACAGTTACAAAAATTGATCTGCAGTAAATTGATTACATTAACATGACTACAACAGCATAATTAATGATTACAACAATTTGGTTATGACAATTTGATTACAACAATTTGATTACAGTAACTTGATTACAGTAACTTGACAACCTTTTCAGGCTTAGGCTCTTGAGCTCGAGGGACAGGTTCCAGATTCCACTTCCTAAGGAAATCTCTAGCATGGCCGAAGATGATGAGGATGGCGTATCCGATGTAAGTGAGGATGGCAACTAACAATGGGGTTTCCTCAAATGATTCGTAGTTTTGTACATCACTGTCATCCTTATGTGTGATTGGTTAATTGGTTGGTTGAATGGCTGGTTGATTGAATAGTTGGTAGGTTGATTGGTTGGTTGTTTGGTTGGTTAGTGATTGGTTGGTTGATTGATTAGTTGATTGATTGATTGGTTAGTTGATTGATTGGTTAGTTGATTGATTTGTTAAATGACTGAGTGGTCTGATGATGGAATACAAAATTGACAGATGGATGACCAGTTGAGTTATTATTAATTACGGTTGACTGATTGTTATTCATTGATGAATGGTCAGAGTTGATGAAATGATATTGGTGGCAATGGAATGAATGACTATAAGTCAACAGCTTATAACTATTGTCAGTTATTGAAATATTTTTTTTAGTAGATTTTCCATTAATTGATTGATCAGTTTATCAATCCATTAATTAGCTTATCAATTAATTAATTAATTAGTTAATTAATTGTTCAATGATTGGTAAATAGAGGGGTTAGTGAGAAATAATTAGCAGGTAAGTGTCTAATTATAGATAGGACAACATGTTTTGGATGGGTTAACAATTTAACATATAACTGTGCAAGCGGGTCATTGCTGAAAAAATTAATTTTTCCATTTGACCAACTGAAATGATTTCTGAGACACAAAGAAATAAATTCAACGTACGTTTGAATATGTTCTCGTGAATTAATTTGAATTATTGTTTTTAAACATCAATAAGAAAATAAGAAAAACCAAAATTAATTAGAAATAAAAAACAATGAAGAAATGTTAGGAAACTAAAAAGTTATTTCAAATCGAAAACCACAAACAACACGATATATGTAGATTATGAAATCAATAGAAAATAATTGTTATCTATTGAAAAATTTTATTGCACAAATGGCCATGAATAATACATATAACACAATACAATATGTTATTATTTTTATGTCGCTGTGTCATGTTACTCTCGCAGATGACATTCAAAAATATTAAAACTTCTTTCATTAATCAGTAGAATGAATGAAGGTGTCTTTTTCAATGAAAAGAACATAAAAAATTGTCTAAGGAATTTCTAAAAAAATGTGTAACACAATTATATTAAGTATATATAAATAAAAAAAATATAACATGCCACCCACACAAGTTTTGGCTTTTTTTTAAAAGTCCTTGCCATTGAATGAAATCTTACTTACATTTTAAAAATAAGTTGAGTAATAAGTTTTTTCAAGTCTAAAGTAAAAAGTTAAACTAACTAAAGTAACTGAATAGGCAAACACAAAAAAACATTTTTTAAAAATTTATATTAAAAGAGTATTTGAAAGTATACAGCTTTTACTAGCTGATTGTAATACTATTATAATTGTATGTAATTTTTTTGTTGCACTAATTATTATATATTAATTTAAAAATAAAATAAAAAAGTTTTTAATGTGATGTGTGTATCATTTTATTTAATTGATACTTGTTATGCATAGTAAATGAACAACACCTGACAGATACTAAGATACAAAATCATTTTATTTATTTTATTATGCATCTTGCATCAGTATATTTAGTTTCTTATATTTTATTTTATATTCTTTTTTTATAAAATTTATATATATATATGTGTGTGAATTATATTTTATAAAATAAAAATGTTATAAAAAAATTATCAATTATAAAATAAACTAAGTAAAAGTAAGTAAAACAAAACTCACAAAATCTTTCAAACCTCCCTGACCGACACTTCCACCTCCTACTAATCCGTCATTTTTGGAAATTCTCTTAACTCCATTCAGTCCATTGACGGCATGCAGTTGAACATGTTTTGACATTATTACTCAAATCAAAAGTCGATTTTGTTGAATTTATAATTTTATAAGATATATATATATAATTTTCAAATAATTAAAATTAAAATGGCTGTAATGTGTGTGTATGTAGTGGTGTACTTTGGAGACTAACAAACAAATGAAGAATTATTTTGGGATAATTTGCTGTTTGAAGTCAGTGTCCTAGCGACATTTCAAAAGAAGAGATCATCGATGTTGAACAGAAGCAGTCAGGTGATCACATGAATAACATTCATCATTCTCATTTCATTCATAGCAGGAATTTCCCACACCGTTCAATGCTAACCTGCCTACAGTGCACATATGTTTTATATTCTATGTTGTATAATTGTATATAATGTAAAATAAATGTATAAAAATAAATGTATACTATAATAATAATGTATTATGTATGTATAAACTATAAATGTGTTGTGTATGTGTATAATATTGTATACATGTATGTATATATGTGTATGTAAAAAATTGTATGCATGCATCAATATAATAATGTACCTACGTATGTAAATGCCCACAGGTATGAATGAGTATGATTTGTAATTATGTACAATGTATAAATAAAATAAATAATGTATGTATATGTTATGTACCAGTGTATATAATATAGTATATAGTATTTATAGTATATTATTTTATGTGTGATGTACAACACTAAAGCTTACTTATAAATTAAAACGCATAAATTAATTATTCCGCCCAATTAGTTGAAACTCCTTGAAATAATTTTATTTTGAAAAATGTAAATTATTTTTTAAAAGTGAATCTTAGTTCGATTCTTGTGCGTGCGCGGAAAATAAATTTTTCGTGGGGATAGATGAACCATGGGATGAACCAAATATAACATTGAATTGAGATCAGTGAACATGATGGATATGAGTGAATTATTCTGAAGAAATGAATTTGAATGAAATAATCTGAATAAATAAATAAATAAACGAATGGATAAATATGAATGTATGCATGAATGAATGACAATGATCGAATGTATGAACAAGGTGAATAGATGGGAATGAATGAATGAAATAAATTATGAATGCACTTTCAATGAACGAACAATGAAAGAATATGCTATGAATATGAACAATATGAAAAATGAGAGAATATGAAGTGATATAAACATAACTGTCCAAATGAAGATGAAAACAGAAATTGAAGTAGCTGAAGATCAAGCAGGCTTTAGAAGTGGAAGAAGAACAAGGAATCAAATAGTAAATTTAAAAATAATATGTGTCTTGTCGATTTTCGTTAAGCGTTTGACACGGTGTCGCATTATAGACTATGGATGATGATGCTAGACATGGCATTTGAAATGAAAAGTTCAAGAAAAATACTGAGGGTGTCATGGAAAAACAGAAAAACGAAGGAATGGGTTCTAAAAACAATTGGAGTACAGCGAAAATTATTGCCTGAAATCAAAAAGAGAAAATTAAGCTAAATTGATTACATCTTCAGGAAACACCAATGCCTGGAAAAAGATTTAAACAAGGGACGCTGTCCGGATCAAAGCAGAGAGGAAAGCAGAAAAGAAGATGAATTGATGGTTTAAAGAATTGGACTAATCTTAAAATGGAAAAGTTGCTGAGAAAGAAAGATGCAGGACAGAGTTAACTGGAAAAAACTTATTCATGATGCAGCCTACCCTCGGATTGAGGATAGTTAAAAACAAGACAACTGATTACCTATATGAATGAAGGAATGAACAATAGTGTCCTTTGTGCCATTCTAAAACGTCGAAAGTAAAAAGGCAGATGAAGCATAGCATAATATCAAAACAACTATTCGTAAACATGACGAAAAAAATTTCCAAAAGACTTGCATGAGCCTAAGCTATTAGGTCGGTTTTGTATATTTGTAATGAGATAATTCTATGCTAAAGAATTCAACATTTAGTCAACTTATTAACTGTTGTCATATTAAAATCGATTCACTCATTTAGTTTTAAACTGCAGAAACAATTGCAATTTAAAAATGTGAAATTATTAAATAGGGTGTTTACGATAACCTTTGACCATGCATATATATATATTATATCCATGCCTTGGACTAATTTTAATTCCAATACATTTGCAGCACTACTAATCTGAGGATTTTATTAAAAATAAAAAAATTTCTGCCAACTTTTTTTCAGCTCATTCACATTTAATAATACTGGGATTCACCGATGTTTAACCAAACCTTCTCAATAAATATTATAGTATAATAAGTTTCAATATCAGCAGAGCTAGATTCAAAAATACTTAATCAATACATCAGTGTTCATTTATCGCAGGTACGAGTTGAATTTCGTCTCCGTGCTCTTTTTTATTTTCACGTTTTCAACACTTTGAAGTGATTACAAGTGATTGACTGGCCATAATTAAAGGATGTCATTCGTTAAGGGAGGAGACTATGTAGCAGGATGAGTAAAATAACTCAAATAAAACAATAAATCCTTTTTAGATCAGGCCCTGAGGTTTTTTTTTAGAAAAAAAAACAAAGAATTAAAAGAAGAAAATATTCCAACAAATGAAACGTCAGCAAGCCTGTTGATAAACATCGAAGCAAAAAATAACAATACTACAAGATCATACCATCATAACATGCGATGAAAAAATTAATTTATATGACTATTTTTATAAAATTTTGCAACAGATTTAAATTAATTAAAATATTGGGTTAATTCTTGAATTAAAAGTGCTATTATGAAAGTTATGATTTTTTAAGCAATGAATTGTTGACCGAAAATCAGACGAGATCGAATGAATCCATTTTATAACGGAAGGTCAACTTTTATAGTTTCCCACCAAAAGAGATTTACTTCTATTTTTATTACCATGAAAGTTTCAAAATAAATTGTTACTCAAGTACCTTGTATGTTTAATGTAACAGTTTATAATTTATTTTCATGATAAATAATTTTGCCTATAATCCAATGATTCATTTTGAACTTTTTTGTAGATTTTCTTTGTCACCGACAAGGAGGGTGCCTCTAAGTTATGAGGTGGGTGATTTCCATCATAAATTTATTTTAAATACAGTTTATATGATGTTTCAAAAGATCTATTACTTTGTCTTCACTGTCCGTTTCAATGAATATTCAGATATTGGGCTGACAAAATCAAAAACATTCTTATGTTGAAATTTTTTTTTTTATTTTTATAAATCCTACAAAAATTAAGTTAAAATTGCGAGACAATTTTAGTATAC